TTAAAAATAATTCATTTTTTCCTTATGTTTTTCAATGTTAAATATTCTCAATATGAGACATTCTCTGTTTTTGTGTTAGTAATCCGAATGTCTTTCTTGAATTGGCAGTGAAGAGTTCTGCGCGAAGGGTCATAAAACAATTAAGGTTGGTCCAAGAGAAATGATGAATTACTTATCGGCATTTTATTTTTTAATGTTTTACTGACCCCTGTGCGTTCTTAGATCTGTTTCCATTTTCGTGTGTTTCTGTCAGCATGCGTGTATATATGCGTGCGTATATTTCCCCTCCATACATATACTGTCTTACTATGAGGAATTAGTAAACTCATTTGTACACATACACACAAACATACACATACACACATACACACCGTCCGACCACAAGGAATCAGTACATACATACACATACATACACACACACATACAAACATATACTTCTCAAGCTACATGGAACCAGTATACACATACACATACACATACACACACATACGTACATACATACACACGTACTTCCTAAGTTGTGTGGGGTTTGTGTGCGTGCTCGTGAGTAGTTCCCCTGTTTTGTCAACATGCGTATATATATATATATATATATATATATATATATATATATGTGTGTGTGTGTGTGTATATATATATATATATATACCTTCGTGCCTCCCGTATGTGAGTATGCGTTCATGTGAGCGTGTGTTCATGTATGTGAGTGATTTTATCACTGTATTTGGTCACCTTGTGTGCATGTTGTGTGCTTTTGCGTGTGGGGTTATGTCCTATTTATTTCGGGTTTAAATTTGTTTATAAAGTTTTTTTCTTGTATTTGTAGGTACGAATAATCGTCTGTTTGATATATCGGCATGATATTAAATTTACCCTGGTTACATTTGAAGATGTGTTGTGATACAAAAAGTTTTCTGTTGTCTGGCAATTTTATATTGCTTTTGTGTAGGGAGACCCTGTTGTTCAGTTGTTGGCTGATGCCTATATATGACTTCTTACATTTTGTGCATTTAAGTACATAAATTGCATTTTTGGAGTTGCAGTTTAAGTTTTTATTTATTGTGAATGTTTTTTTTGGCTTTTCAAAAGTGTAGGAGTTTCCTTCTATAATGATGTCACACACCCCACATCTTTTTTTGTTGCATTTTGTGACTCCCTGTATTGTGTGTTGGTTAAATTTATGAGGTTAATATGTGTTTTAGGTTTCTAGATTGGCGTTTGCTCTTAATTATTTTGGTTGTTTTTAGTATATTATTCAGTTTATTATTCTTTCTAAGTAGGTCTAGACTTTTTGTAATTTCTGTGAATATTTCTGGATTGTTTTTGTTGTATGTTGAGACATATGTTAGAGTTTGTTCGACGTTATGTTTCTTTTTATTTCTAAGTTGGTCTAGAGGAATTTTTTTTGTGAGTTCAAAACCTTTGTTTATTAGTGTTGTGGGGTAGCCTCGTTTTTTGAGAGTTTTATGTGGTTCTTCTAAGCGAATTTTTTGGAGGTGTTTATCAGTCACTATTGTACAAATTCTATGTGCTAGGGAATAGGGGATGGATTTTAGGCAGCTTTTTGGGCGATGGCTCTTGAAATGAAGGTATTGTTGGGTGTCTGTGTGTTTGTGGTAGATATCTGTGATTATGTGGTTGTTTTTATTTCTAATGAGTATATCTAAAAATGGTAATTCGTTAAAATTATATTCTTGCATGAATTTGATTTTTGGGTGTAAGTTTTGAAGTAGTGTGTGGAATTGGTTAATATTACCCCATGAGGATTTCCAAAAGATGAAGCAATCATCTAAGTATCTTTTCCAAGATTTAGTGAATTGGGTTTTTATATTTGCCCCATATATTTGTTCTATCTTTTCATAGAGGTTTTCTTCTAGGTAAGCTAATGTTAGGGTGGCATATGTTGGTGCCATTTTTGTTCCCATCGCAGTACCTAGGGTTTGGATATAGTTTTTGTTGTCAAATTCAAAGGTGATATTGTTTAGAATTAGGTCTATACTATCGATAATGAACTCTTTAGTGAATCTTGGATGTAGTATTTCTAGATGTTTTTCAATCCAGAATGTGATTGCTTTTTTTCCTAGTTCATGGGGTATGTTACTGTATAGGCTACTGATGTCAAAAGTTGCCATCAGCGTTCCCAGATCTACCTTTTGTGGTATGCAGCTAAGGAAATGGATATCGTCTCTGATGTGGCTTTTAATTTGTTTAGTATATGGTTGCAATATTATGTCTATTAGGTTACTGAGTTTGCTAGTTGGACAGGCTAGTACGCTACTATTGGTCTGAATGTAAGGTCACTGGGGTTTGGGATGCTAATGTATTCAGATTTTTGTGTATGTATAGCTGCTTTTATTCCACTCGATTTATGAATTTTAGGTAGTCCGTAGAAATTACTTGTTTTTGGTACAAAATTTATTAGGAAATCTTTCTCTTTTTTTGTTAATATTTTATTATGTGTTGTGCAGAGTTGTAATTTTTGTTATAATGTTATAATGTTATAATTTTGTTATAAAAACATAAGGAAAAAATTAATTACTTTTAATAATATGTGGAAATCTTCGCTTTTACCTGAAGACGGTCACGAGACCAGAAACACGTATAGTAAAATTATGGAAAATAAAGCATAATATTTTTTTCTAAAAATAACACATTACAACCAAAAACGTTTGCGGCACCACTCTTCTCTTCTTTTTAATATATATATACATACATACATAAACATATATATATATATATATATATATATAAGATAATTTCCTGGCTCCTTAGGATTATCTTAGGTTTGCTCTACTTCATGTATTGAGCACTTTACATAGTTGCCTTTACCCGTTTTGGAGTTTTTTTCTTTGAACTCTGGACGATTGTTTTCGCCTTAGTTTTATGTTCTTGGTTCTTTCTTTTTTTATTCCTCATTTTCCTTGGGTACTGATTTGTTCTACTACAAGTTGAACTATCCAAGGTTTTTCCAAGCGAGTACCACCATTTATATATATATATATATATATATATATATATATATATATATATATATATGTTGATTTTACAAATGCCACCCTAATTAAAAAAGAACATAATTCTTTACACCGAAAATACTTCAATGAAATCCTGATAAAAATTTGACCAACTCTAATCACACATCAAAAACACTATATTACATCACCAACCTTTATTAAATCCACTATTAAAGAATCTAATGTATACTTCACTACCAGAAATGGTGTTGACATAAAAATATCCCAAAATCAATATATGGACAACTTCCAAACATAAATAATACCTACTAGACACACACACACATACATATATAGATTATCATTGGAATCCTGCAAAGACAAACTAGAATTATGATACGCTTACACACATAAATTATACACACATAAATTATACACACATAAATTATACACACAAACGCTGCTTGATTAGTCAAATGCACATGAAGTCAGCTTAACTAATGAAAATTAAAGAATATGGAAATGGAAAATACCAGATAATTTTTTCCATATCTCCTCTGATGAAGTTTTAATAAAAGCAAAACATGTTAAATTTATAAACATTTCCTATTTGTTCTTTATTCTATTATATATATATATATATATATATATATATATATATATATATATATATATATACATAATACATAAAAGGTTAATGGTCAAGGTTGAATTGGACCAGGGAACAGTAGTTTTAAAAAGTGGCCAATACACATGTGAAAAAAATAAAAATAAAATAAAAAATAACATGTATAGCTTTTAACTTTAAAAATTAAGAAAATCAAGTGATAAAAATTGCCTGAGGATTATGTAAGGTTGAAACCAAGGTAGTGGAATCAACTGATCTCCTTATTTTTAAGTATATATAATGGTAATGGACTCTTCTGTTGGTTTCAACGTATGAGGATCTGACAACTTAATTGATTCAGTTATGAAATTTTGTGCGATAATCTTAAGTGGCACTTAAGACCCGCTAGTGATTTACAAAGGATGACACAAGAGCAAGAGTGATGATTGTGGGATGAGATCACTGTTAGATTGACTGACCTTTTAGATCTTGCTCTCACTTCTTGAAGATGATTCAGACAAGCTGATTGAAAACAGCTGAGTTCACTAAAACACAATCTCCATTCTACCTGCTCCATGGCTAAAAGCATCAGAGTGCTGATGAGGTATATTGACAGCTGACAATTATATATATATATATATATATATATATATATATATATATATATATATGATGAACTATTTTATGCTCCCATCAATTTCAAAGCAGAAGGGTCAGACAGTTCAGTTTAGAATTGCTCCACTATACTTGCCACACAGATTATTTCAGTGAGGAATACTTGTGTAGAACCAACCACAGTTTTGGGAAAAACTGAGAAATAACAGAGAAAGAGTACACAGTGTGCCACAAAGTCTCCATCAATCCTTCCACAGGTTTAAATTCAGAATTTTCCTTCTCTACAACAGTTTGCCAGCCAAGACAAGAGAGTTCAGTCTGCTCTGCTATTTAACCCAAGATGGGGGAAAATGGATGCACAAAGTGAATGAAACAGATTTGCCTGGATTTTGTACTTGGCCTGGCAATTTTACTTTATGTGCCAACAACCATTACACTAATCTCACACACACACACACACACACACGATAGAATATATGAAAATGTATTGGATGAGTTTTAAATTAACCACAGCATATCTAAGTAGCAGGGTTGCAATGGTAATGATTTTTCCTTAATTTTTTCAATTGATTGATTTGCTTTCTATGGCTTATCAATCCTTTGCAGGTTAATTAAAACCAGAAAATATTTTTACATTGGAAGAATTTTTGTTTTAGGAGATTATAACTAGTTAACCCATACCTGGGTGGAGAAGAGGGGTCTCATACCTTTCCCAAGGGTATTTATGTGTAAGTGAATATAACGAAGCCTATGATAATTAGAACTTAGCACTCTGATAACCAATTCCGAGCCATTATCTATTATGCCACCTGCACATCCAAGCTTACTATACTTGGTATTCCCAACTAGTCACTGATATAAGTACTGACCAGGCTTGATGTTGCTTAACTTCGGGGATCATACAGGAACTGGGGTTTCAGTGTGTTATGGTCATAAGCATCTTAATTTTTTCCTTGTTTTAATCATGAACAACTGATTGAACAAAATTTTATATATATATGTATGTATGTATATATATATATGTGTGTGTATATATATATATATGTATGTATATATATATATGTGTATATATATATATATATATATATATATATATATATATGTATATATATATATATATATATATATATATATATATATATATATATATATATATATATATATATATATATATATATGTATATATATATATATACAGTGTATCCTAAAAGTAGTACACCCCATTTCTTCAAATATTTAAGTATATCTCTTCATGGGACAGCACTGAAAAAATTACCTTTTGACACAATGAAAAGTAGTCTGTCTGCAGCATATATAACAGAGTTAATTTCTTTTCCCCTCAAAATAACTCAAAATATAGCCATTAAAAGCTAAATCCTGGCAACAAAAAGTGAGTACACCCTAAGAAACTACACCCCTAAAAAGTGAGTACACCCCTAAGAAACTACACCCCTAAATGTCTAAATTGAGTACTGCTTTTCATTTTCCCTCCAAAATGTCATGTGACTCATTAGTGTAACTATGCCCATGTGTTCATGGGGAGCAGGTGTATTCAAATTTGTAATGCAGCTCTAACACTCTCTCTTACCAGTCACTGAAAGTTCCAACATAGCACCACATGGCAAAGAACTCTCTGAGGATCTTAAAAAACGTATTGTTGCACTACATAAAGATGGTCAAGGCTACAAGAAGATTGCCAACACCCTGAAACTGAGCTGCAGCACAGTGGCTAAGATCATCCAGCATTTTAAAAGAGCAGGGTCCACTCAGAACAGGCCTCGGGTAGGTTGTCCAAAGAAGCTGAGCGCATGTGCTGAGCATCACATCCAAATGCTTTCTTTGAAAGATCAGCATAGGAGTGCTGTTAGCATTGCTGCAGAGATTAAACAGATTGGGATTCAGCTTGTTAGTGTTCAGACTATACGCCACACACTACATCAAATTGGTGTGCATGGCTCTCACCCCAGGAGGAAGCCTCTTGTGAAGGCAATACACAAGAAAGCCCACAAACAGTTTGCTGAAGACATGTCAACAAAGCCCATAGATTACTGGAACCATGTCCTATGGTCTGATGAGACGAAATTTAATTTGTTTGGTTCTGATGGCCTTAAGCATGTGTGGCGGCGACCAGGTGAGGAGTACAAAGATAAGTGTGTCATGCCTACAGTCAAGCATGGTGCTGGGAATGTCATGGTCTGGGGTGGCATGAGTGCTGCAGGTATTGGAGAGTTACATTTCATTGAGAGAAACATGAACTCCAACATGTACTCTGAAATACTGCAGCAGAGCATGATCCTCTCCCTCCAGAAACTGGGTCGCAGAGCAGTGTTCCAGCATGACAATGACCCCAAACACACATCCAAGACAACCACTGCTTTACTGAAGAGGCTGAGGTAAAGGTAATGGACTGGCCAAGCATGTCTCAGACTTGAACCCAATAGAACATCTTTGGGCCATCCTCAAGCAGAAGGTGGAGGTGCAGAGTCTCAAATATCTGCCAGCTCCATGACGTTGTCATTGAGGAGTGGAAGAGCATTCCAGTGACTACCTGTGAAGCTCTGGTAAACTCCATGCCCAGGAGAGTAAAGGCAGTTTTGGATAATGATGGTGGCCACACAAAATATTGACAGTTGACATGTTGTATGTTAATATTGACAACTTTTCCTAAGGGGTGTACTCACTTTTGTTGCCAGGGATTTTAATGGCTATATTTTGAGTTATTTTGAGGTAAAAATAAATTAACTCTGTTATATATGCTGCAGACAGGCTACTTTTCATTGTGTCAAAGTTTCATTTTGTCAGTGTTGTCCCATGAAGAGATATACTTAAATATTTGAAGAAATGTGAGGGTGTACTCACTTTTGTGATACACTGTATCTGTATGTATATATATATATATATATATATATATATATATATATATATATATATTATTTGTCCTGTGCTTGTAAAATAAAACATTCCTATAACTCTAGATACATGCATAAAACAATCCATACATTCAGTTAAAAGTAAAAATGAAATCATCTTTGATAATAGCTAAAAGTATAGCTGAAAGCACTAACATTTATATATGTGTGTGTGTGTGTGTATATATATATATATATATATATATATATATATATATAAATGGTTGACTTTATATATATATATATATATATATATATATATATATATATATAAAGTCAACCATTTTGTTTTTCTAAGCTGCCAAATTCTTAGCATGATTTAGGGTAGATTTTCACTTTTGTTTGAAATCAGCAATTTAAAAAGTATGGTTGTTCTATTCAGCAAAACAGTATTTGTCAAAGAGTTTGTGCTGAATTGTTAAAAGTTGTATGGAATGCATAGTGCTTGACATCTTGGAACTTTTACTCTGCAGACTGTTTGGAAAAGTAGAGGGAATGCTGGAATGAATGTATGAAGTCCTAAGGGGAATAACCCGAACAAATATAATGTTTTATTGCCTAGGATTGGCTATATTTTCAGGGCTGGATATTTCTGTACAGTCATTGTACACACACACACACACACACACACACACACACACACACACACACACACACACACACACACACTTCTACATACATAATCATTTATTTGCAATTTAAAACTATATATTAATGAGATCTCGCAAATAATATAATTCACTTTTCCATTACATTTAAAGTGGTAGGGTGAAGATTAACACTTGAGTTATCCTAAAATATCCCCTAAAATAATGCTAGTAATATTTCATCATCATGATAGAATTTAAAGCTTATGTGTTGGTATATGATAGCTCTGTGTGTGTTCACGTATAAACAATTAATGTTGAAGCAACAAAAACTTGGGTTTCTACTAAAATAAGTAAAATAAGAGTAAATAAGGATAAGAAAGGTTAAAATGGTTGAGCTCAAGTCAGCTTTGTGGTGAGTTGGAACAACCAAGTTAGTTACTTCATGAGTGGTGCTGCAAAACAACCAAATGCTCTGCATTGGAAAGTGGCAAGAGGGTTCAGTCATCAGTGGACCAGGGAAATGAATGTTTTCCAGCAGGGATGTCCTCTTCTGTATGCTGTATATCTTGGAGCAAGAGGAAGAAAGAGGATGAATTAAATGTCTGTCATTTAATAGAAGTTAAACAACACAGCCTAATGAGCATTTGACAAAGCCAAATATCCAGTTCTTTTATTAGTAGCATCATGAGAAAATGTATTCATTTTTAAAATTATTCATTATCATTATTTTATTTATTGATTTTATTTCATTTTCCCATATCACCAATTGGACTATAAGCTTTCTACCAACACAATTAACAATTGGACTCACAATGGACTTTCATAGATTGAACATCTATTGAGACTCAAGTACACTCCAGACTTCAAATTGTACTGATATATATGATCTATTGCTTAAAAAGTTGGAAAAATGGTTGGCTATTTGTATTGAGTCAGAAAGTACATGAATCCTTCTGCTACTTTTTATCTTTACAAGAGTCAGATTAGATCAAATGTGGTGTATTGCTGCCATGTATGATCTGGAGCTGCTGAATCCTAATATTCCAGTCTTTCTGCAACTGTTTATTTTTGAAAGAGATGGATTAGATCAAAAATGGATTACAGCTGCCATTTCCTGGCTGAAGCTGGTAAATCTTAACTTTCCAGTCCTTCTTTCACTCTTTATCTTTACAAGAGTCAGATTAGATCAAATGTGGAGTATTGCTGTCATATCTGGTCTGGACCTGCTGAATCCTAAATTTCCAGTTCTTCTGCCAAACTTTATTGTTGCAAGATTAGATCAAAAATGGTGTATTGCTGCCATATCTTGGCTGTAGCTTTCCACTCCTTCTGCCACTCTTCATCTTTGCAAGAGACAGATTAGATCAAAAATGGAGTATTTCTACCATATCTGGTCTAGAGTTGTTCAATCCTAAGTTTGCACTTCTTCTGCCACTCTTTGCAAGAAACAGATTAGATCAAAAATGGAGTATTTCTACCATATCTGGTCTAGAGTTGTTCAATCCTAAGTTTGCACTTCTACCACTCTTTGCAAGAGTCAGATTAGATCAAAAATGGATTATTGCTATCATGTTTGACTGGAGCTGATTAATCCTAACTACAGCCTATACTAGCCCAAAGGATAATCCTGAGCTGAGTCCTAAGCTGCAGTCTATACTAACCTAAATGATAATATGTCTCTTAATCTGTAGATTCTACAGATTGCTCTACAGATTACTCTTACTCTACAGACGGTAAATGATAATCCAGCCCTGGGACCTAGGCTGCAGTCTATATTAGCCTAAAGAATAATCCAGCCCTGGGCCTGGCCCCTAGGTTGCGGCCTATACTAGCCTAAAGGATAATCTGGCTCTTACTCTATAGACTCTTTCTCACAGAAGCAACATTGTAGTCTTATCATTACTCTATTATTATTTCCATGGAAAATGTTTAGATATATTCCACTCTTTAGATTCACTAATTTAGACCTTTACAGCTTGGTCTGCTATCTGCACAGAGTGAAATCACCCATATTTTCTCTGTATTCCATTTGTAAAGAAGAAGGTTCAGTTAGAAAACTTTTTCCTTAGAACTGTTACTTTCTCAAACAGACTCTAGCATGGATGCTTCCTTGAATAATACAATCTTAATGCCATTTGTATAGCAAAGAAAACAGCCATGACTAGCATGTGTCCATTGCAGTGGGCAGCAAAAATAACTGACAAGTATTTGTTGACATCCCTCTGCTGCCCATGCAAATGACTTTGGTATACTTAAGTTGAGCACAAAACAGAATTCCTATATTCACTTGTGAACTCACTAGAGTAGCATGTGCACTCACAGTATCATTTGCATCATTTTACATTCATATTAAACATCATTCAGTAAAACTCTACCAGGGGTGGCTCTTGAGTCTTTTACAGAGTTAACTTTAGTATAACAATTTTAAGTTAAGTG